TTCTCCTCCATTCTCCTCTTGGGATCTTGGGCACGCATGCACACGCGCCCGGCATAAGTTTTAAGCCACCGGGTCTGAGACTCGAACCACGGTCGACTACATGGGAGTCCAGCGACATAGCCATTACACTAACTGCTGGCCCCCTGAGGGGGTGATTTCTTGCTTTCCTTCTCTCTGTCTCTCTCTGTCTTCCTGGTAAGGCCCTATAGCAAAAACCTCTCCCCCCAAAAAATAAATAAATAAATCCAAATAATAACATCTTAAAATATGAAGATTTTAAACATTTACATTTAAGAAATTAATTGGACATAGCTATTAGTAGATAGTTAACTCTTTGATATTTTGGGATTTATACTTTTTTGTGTGCTTTTAAGTAATCTTTCATGAAGAATTTTAGGGCATTTATTAAAAAAGAAATGACAAATGGGATTCTCTTTCTGCAGAAGCGTGATTAGCAGCTATGCAGACTTTTTCATGTAACTAGATCTTAGAGAACTGTCAAAGCTTAAATAGTGAAGTGCTATGAGACGTTTTCTTGACAATGTTCTTTTCCCTTCTTCCCCTTCCTCCCTTCTCCCACCCCAAGCTGGTTCCTATGTAGCTCTCACTGTCCAGGGACGCCCCCCTGGGTCGCCCCAGATCCCACTTGCCGATTCGGAAGTAGAAGCGTCAGTCACTGGACCTATGTCTCCCATCATGACATCCCCTCACTCACCTGGAGCCTCCGGGAACATGGAGAGAATCACCAGCCCTGTGCTCATGGGGGTAAGAGTGGGGGCAGGGTTAGGAAAGGCTCAGTTGTACAAAGGTGCCTTTGCTTTACAGTCAGGGTTTTGAAGTAATGGACTGGTGGACAAACTAAGGTCAGGAGTCTAGGAAGTGACTTCCTAAGATAAAAATGACACGGTAATTTGGAATGACTACAGACTGCTATCACAGAAGATTTCATTCAATAAATATTAAACACCTATCATATATAATATACAGCAATGAGTTACTCAAAAAAATATAATTAAGATATTCTACCTTTAGAGTCCTTAGTCCTCTTAGAATACATACTTTGGGAGGACAGGCTTTTTACTTTTCATTATTTTGTTTTCTGCTATGTTTCTAGTACCTGAAATATTGCACGGCATGTAGTAGGTGCTTAATAAACCCTCGCTGATTGAAATTGAATCAAGAATATTCAAGTAACTACAACACAAAGACAGTGTAGGCATTATGAAGGAAAGCAACACTACGTTTTGTGAATATGCAGGGAGGGAGGACATGCAGCCTGCTGTGATAAGGATGCCTTTACCAGGAGGGCTCATTTTCATCCACCTGGAAAGGCAGGTCACCTTTAGGCGACGGTGACTGGGAAGAAGGCAACCCAGATAACGGAAGTAGAAATAGCCAAAAAAGCACCAGAAGTTTTAGGGAAAGGCCACTGTGGTTTGACCCATGCTATTCAGGGTGTACATAGTGAGAGATGCACTTGAACAAAGTAAATTGACTTTGAAAAATTACAACCTTCAAGCTAATTTCCACATAACTAGAGAAGCCTTAAAAATCTGTTAAACATTTTTTTGAGCAAGAGAATGATGTGATGATAGGAAGACCAATGTGGTAAAATGATCATAGGGTTATGAAACACGGGACAATGGTAGGAGATGAGTTAGGGAGTTGTCGGAGTTGTATTTAAAGTAGGAGCCCCTGGGATCAGCAGTTAGCATAATGGCTATGTTGCTGGACTCCCATGTAGCCAACCGTGGTTCGAGTTCCCGACCCGGTGGCTTAAACTCACGCTGGGCGCGTGTGCGGTGCATGCCCAAGATCCCAAGAGAATGGAGGAGAAGGAATTGCGACATGACCATCCCCCCTGGAGGGTGATTTCTCGCTTTCTGTCTCTCTGTCTTTCTGGTGAGCGCACATGCCCTATAGCAAAAACCTCTCAAAAAAAAAAAGTAGGAGCCCCTGGGAATCTGAGATATACATGAGAAAGACCCAGAAGAGGGAAGGGATGAGGGGACTTGAAGACGTTTATGGGAAATGGAATTAAAAGTACTCGTTTTTGTTAGTGCAAAAAAGTTTTAAAAACTGGGACCAGCAGATGGTATAATGGTTACATTGCTGAACTCCCATATAGTCGACTGTGGTTCAAGTCCCGGCCCCAGTGACTTAAAACTCATGCCAGGCATGTGTGTGTGCACACCCAAAATTCCAAGAGGAGACTGGAGGAGATGGGATTGCCGTGTGGCCATTCCCTGCTGTGGGGTGATTTCTTGCTTTCTGCCTTTCTGTCTCTCCAGCAGATGCAAAGACCCTGTAGTAAAAATCTCTCTTAAAAAAATAAAAAATAGAAATCCATGCATGTGTAGTCTCTTCATAACATGCATTTTCTGTGGCTTTCTTGAAGACCCCTTACCTAAGATGTTACTTGTAGACTTCTGGCAACTTCTTTCTTTCAGTGTTGAATGTTCTCTTTACTGTAGTTTAGTAAAAGTGAAGCAGAGGGACAAGGATTTCTCTGGAACCTTTCTCTCTGGAAGTGTCATGTCTAAAAGCCTGTCTTCATAACCGCCAGGCAGCGGAGATCCATTAGGAGTGATAATCAGAGCTGAGGCAGAACATTGTGCGTCTCATTTTTGCTTCTATTTATTTTAACTTCACTGTATTGCTAAGTTGTGTTTCATTTCATTTTTTATCTTTTCCTAGGAGGAAAACAATGTGGTTCACAGCCAGAAGGTAGAAATTCTGAGAAAAATGTTACAGAAAGAACAGGAGCGGCTACAGGTACCACGTTAGGGATGGGGTGGTGTGCAGACCAGCGAAGACGGGAGTGGGCCTAGCCAGCTTGGCGTCTATCGGACACAAATCAAGCAGTGTCGTAAACAATGCCTGTAGCTATTTTATCAATTAAGAACGGGCTTTTTCTATATTTTCTTGATGTAAGTAATTCTCAAGATATTTTTATAACTTTTCAGTTACTGCAGGAAGATTACAACCGAACACCTGCCCAAAGATTGCTAAAAGAGATTCAAGAGACCAAGAAGCACATCCCTCAGCTGCAAGAGCAGTTATCGAAAGCCACCGGCTCAGCTCAGGTAGCGTCACCGCAGGAAGGGCCGCCCACCTCTCAGGAGAGTGTCCTCCGGGAGTGTGTCGGAGAGCGTCACAGCGCTTTTGGGAAAAGTTGTCTTTCTAGTAGAGGGTGCGAGGATGTCCTATGCAGGATGTTACAGAAGCAGTGGTTAAGGAAAGTAAGCGTCTCCTCACTCGCTCGCAGTATCACATTTCTTTCTTCCGTAATAACTTTTCAAAGGATCGAGTGCTTTTGCTTTGACATGACAAAGTAGTAAAGTGTATTTTCATTTTCGTGGCTCATTCCTGCCATCGTAACACAGCATGACAGTTGACGTGTGTGTAAGTAGGGCTGTGAGATTTCACAGCATGGCAGGCATCAAGCTAACCCAGGCAAGGGTTCTCTGATTAACTGCCCAGCAGCCCAGTGAGGTCGGCCCGTGGTGTCCCCATTTCAAGACACATGTGGAGAGACCAAGTAACCCGTGTGAGGTCATGTGTCTCCGAACTGATCAGACTGGGATTCAGACCCGGGCCGAGCATCTCAGAGCATATTTGTCCTATTATGACTACTCGTTGTGATTTTTCAATAGATGTCAATAGATTTTGTGGTTTAGGTCTAAGTTATAGAAATAGTGGTCTCGTTAGGAAAAAATAGCCCAGTGTTTTGTTAACCAGATATATTCTCTAATTTCTAGAGTCAGCGTATGTAAAACTTCTTATAGCTCATCTTAAAGAAAACGGACAGATTGCCTGTACATTTAAAACGGGTGAAAGCTGTCATTTTGTCACTTATTTCTGACTTATGTCTAAGTTTTAGCCACCTATTTGTAGAATTAAAAGGATTCCTTGGGATCATCTAACTTAATCTGCTCCTTTTAAATACCTTTCAAAGTCATGTTAGGGTTGAGAATAGGGCCCAGACTGGCTGAGTGACTTGTACAAGGTCACATAGTGTATAAAGCCCTTGCTTCCTGGTTTAGTGTGTCATTTGTTATACTCCCCACCCACCCCCGTTACTTCCAGTCCTTCTAGCCAGCTCAAGTTTAAGTCGTATTCTTCAGTAACGTCGACAGCTGTACGTTAGTAGTGAGCAAGATAGCACCCTTACCCTGTTCAGACTGTAAACATATGGTCCCTAATTTAAATGTTTATAATAATGTATGGTTGAGGCATTGTCCCAGAATTGGCAATTTATTGAAACTCTGATGTGTTGGAATATAGTTAAGAAATTGTGCTGTAATAGTCTTTACTACCTGCAGATGTAAACTGTATGCATGAACAAGCTCTACCTGTTTGTTGTATTTAGAAGTCTGCCCTTTTACTCTCTTTACTGTCACTTTCCCTGCCTTTAAAGACATGCCATTTTTAAATAATAGAGTAAGTAGTGACTTAGGCTTTGTGCTGGTGGGACGTTCTGCACCCTTGGTCATGGAGAGCACCTGCCGGCCAGCAGTCGCACATAGAAGGCGGTGCCCTCTATATGCAGGCAGTACTGCCACTCTCACCTGTGCATGCGTTCCTGACACCTGTTGTAGGACGGAGCTGTTGTCACACCCGGCAGGCCTTTAAGTGACACCCTACCCAGCAGCGAGGCAGAAGCAGATCCTGGAGATGGCCTGGGCAGGAGTGACTGCGGCAGTGGAGATGCCTCGCGGCCCAGCAGTGACAACGCCGACGTAAGTACCCCATGTCCCGAGTCTTTTATCTTCTTTACATCCCCCGTCTAGATTTCACTTTAAGCCGTGCGAGTCAGAGGTGTGTTGTGACTTCCTCCTGCCATCCGTGTTTGGGATAGCAATTTGATGAAGAGGAATGCTGGACACTCGTAAATGAGTGTTTAACTCCAGAGCTCACTTTCCCTCCGAAACCCATTGCCAAGTGCTGCTTTTGCAGGGCTGGAATTTCCCAGCAGGCGTCTTGTTTGTGGGTAGAGGAGTTACTAATGCCAGTGCTTTCTTACTGAACCGAGAGGCCAGCGGTGGATATCTTTAAGAGCATGTTAATATTCCATTTGTGGTCAGAGTGACTCAGGCTTGAGTCATGGGGCACTTGGCCATGACAAGGAGGAAAAGGCTCAGTCCTGTTAAATAGACTTCAGCTAATGGCCCAGGGTCAGTAACAGCCCTTTTCCTCATTAGCCCAGAAGCTTCCAGACAAACATGGCTGTATGTTAAGAAGATGATGATATGTTTAGAATGAAATATGCTGTAACAGCATAGCCATAGAATATTTACAGGCTGGGTTTAGTACGCAGTTGCAGGAATAATGACTTTAAAATGATGAGAGAAGTAGTCTGAGCCGGTGTTTTGCGACTTTGGATCATGAAATCAATTTAATGGTTATGAAGGTTTTTCTTTAAAGAACAGAATAGGCAATAAGAGTGGTTTACACATGGAAGAGATGTTACTTTTGTTGTTTACGCACATACAAATATATGTGCTGGTTAACAGTGTAGGGTTTTTCTCTAACTGAAGAGTCTAGTGTGGGGCCAGCAGGTGGCATGCTGGTTAAGGCAGTGGACTCGCACATGGCCGACTGCAGTTTGAGTCCCAGTGGCTTAAGACTCACGCCAGGCATGTATGTGTGTGTACATGCCCCAAATCCTGAAAGGAGAACGAAAGAGAAAAGATTTCGGTATGGCCATTCCCTCCAGGGTGACTTCTTACATTCTTACATTCTGCTGTCTGTCTCTGGCTAGCACACACACCCTATGGCAAAAACCTAAAAAAATAAATAAATAAAATAAATAACTTAGAGTTACAGTTAAAAATATTTGAAAGCCCCAGCCTGAGCCATCATTTAAGCTACCTTTTGAGTTTTGGGCCCAGTGACTTAGTTCTTCGTGCAAAGAAAATTTGAGCTTTTTTTTTTTTTTTTTTCCAAAGGATGGTAATAGGAATCGTGTGATGAGGTCAGCTAAAGGTTCTAATGGAAAATTTCAATTTTGACTCAAAGGAAAAAATGTAATTGTTAGCATTTGCTGAGCATATATACCGTACTCTGTGACAAGTCCTTTACGTTCCTTATCGTAGCTACCCCTTAAAGTAGTGTTGTGAGGTAGTACTATTGTTGTAGTAACTTCAGAGAAGAAAGCAGCCTGAGGCCAGAGTGATCAGATGACCTGCCAAACTTACCCAGGCATGAGTATTTACTTCCCTAACTCCAAAGTACCAGCACTCTAAATACAAACGTATCTTACCTAAGTACTTCCTCATGAATGAGACACAGATGTAAAGGCTCTGAGGTATGAAAATGCGCACCTTTGGGGAGAGCAGTGAAAATGTAGGGGTAACCTGGCATATCCAACTTAGGAATAAGGGCCAGCAGGTGGCATGGTGGTTAAGGCTCTGGGCTCCCATATGGTCTACCACAGGTCAAGTCCCAGACCCAGCGGCTTGAAAACCACACCAGTTGCATGTGGGTATGTGCCAAGTGCCCAAAATCCCAAGAGGAGAATAGAGAAGGGAAGTGGGTTACAGTGTCGGGACCCTGCTGTTTCTCTTTCTATCTCTGTCCGTCTCTCACGGGAGAAATGAGAATAAATGGGCACCCTGCTGGGCTGTATCTTACCTGTGGAGGAGAGGCACCGGCAGGAGCACGTCAGGGTGGGCACTGAGCTGGAATAGAGGCGGAGGTCTGTAAGAGCGGCTTGACTCAGTGGCAGCCTCACACACGCACGTCGAATGGCTGACGTTCCATTTGCGAAATACCTGCTTGCTGCCAGAGCATGCCGTTATGCCTTACCGATCGTCTGAAGTTTCTTCATAATTTAATGAAGCACAGTCACCATTTTTATAGATGAGGAAACCGAGGCCAAATAAATGAGTGAGAAATGAAAGAATCCCGGTTAGGCTGTCTCCTGAGCATATAATAAACTCGTTTGTTTCCCACAAGAACCTTTTTGAGGCTAAATGTCTGTTTGGGAGCCGGCAGGTGGGGTGGCGGTTAAGGGTGCTGGACCCCCACATGGCTAACCACAGTTTGAGTCCCAGACCTGGCAGCTTGCTTTCTTGTCCCCCATCCCCCCACTCACTTTGTCCTTCTCTGGTCAAATTGGTCAAATTCAAATAAATATATAAATAAAGTTAAATGAAAGAATTATTTGAAAAGAAAGTAGTCATTAGTTATGTTTTTAAAAAATGTTTTATTTATATGCAGTAAGTTTGGAGAAACCAGTCTTACCTTTGTGAAAATATTTATTTATTTTATTTGCTCATGTGCTTATCAGAGAGAGAGAGAGAGAGTGAAAAAGCTAGCCACCAGATCTGGGACTTGAACCGCAGTTGGCCTTGTGGGGGTCTAGCACCTGAACCACCATGCTACCTGCCAGATCCACTCTTATCTTTTGAATCAACAGATTTTTAAAAAATTATTTATTCATCTATTATCATTATTTTTCAATTTGACCAGAGAGAGAGAAAGGGAAGGTGAAAAAGCAAGTTGCCAAGTCCAGGACTCAAACCTCAGTTGGCCTGTGGGAGTCCAGTACCCTTAACCACCACACCGCCACCTGCCGGCCCCAACACCTGTTTTTTAATTGTTATAAATAGCTTTTATGGCTGGCCCTATAGTGCAGCAGTTAAGCTGGATCCCACATGGCCAAGCGTGGTTCGGATCCTATCCCAGGTAGCTTGGAATACACCCAGGTATATGTGCGTGCCTGCCCCAGATGCTGGTGGCATGGAGAAATAGAGGAAGGTGCTTTCCGTGTCCCCTGCCTCCCTCCCCACCTTTCTCTGACTCTAGCCAATGTGCGCAACCTCTAGCAATACATGGAATGACAGTATCTTGTTTAGTGAAACTAGCATTGTCAAAACCAAACCAAACCTTGCTTTTGCTCCCTTGGAGAAGGTGTTAAAGAATGCCCACATACCCAGTTCTCACAAGAGAAACAATGTGCTCAGAAATCATCTAGAATTAGGAGCATCTGTCTTACCTATTTTCAATTTGCAGCTGATAGTTTTGAAAAGGTATTTATTTCAAAGATTTTCAGACATACTCCAAAAAAAGTGAGACTGGGCAAGGATCCCCTGTCCCTGATAACTTGTCCTGCAGACGCTAGATTGTGTTAAAATAATTCTAAGATATCATTTCACTAACACTGTCTCTAATAGGCAAGATGTTTTAAAAATATGAAGGGACCTTGGGACCAGCAGTTGGCGTAATGGGTACATTGCTGGACTCCCATATAGTCAGTGTGGTTCAAGTCCTGGACCCGGTGGCTTAAACTCATGCCGGACGTGTATGCATGCATGCCCAAGATCCTGAGAGGAGAATGGAGGAGAAGGGATTGCGGCATGGCCATCCCCCCCAGGGGCTGATTTCTTGCTTTCCGTCTCTCCATCTCTCTGTCTCTCTCTTTCTGGTGAGTGCATGCGCCCTATAGCAAAAACCTCATATGTATGTATATATATAATACATATATATATATACACACACACACACACACACACACACACACACACACACACACACATGAAGGGATCTTTAAAAAGTTCTTAGAGAAATGGGATTAACATATGAATGTATAGGGCCAGAAGGTAGCATTGTGGTTAAGACGCTGGACTCCTACATGGCTGACTGTGGTTCAGGTCCTGGGCCCAGCGGCTTGGGAATCATGCCGGACATGTGTGTGTGTGTGCCCAAGGTTCCAAGAGGAGACTGAAGGAGAAGGGACTGTGATGTGGCCATCCACCCAGGATAGGGAAATTTCTCACTTTTCCTAGCTCTGTCTCTGTCTCTCTCCAGTGAGTGCACATACTCTACAACAAAACAAAACAGAAAAATCTAACTAAAATTAATGCACTGTTTTCTATTGACCCCATATGTGTGGTCGATTATAATATTTTTGTCATTCTTACCAAAAAAAAGGTAAAATCCATACAATATTTTTCATAATACACATTTTCCACCAATTTCTAAAGGGCCCCCTCATATAATTTTATCATTATTAAACCTTTAGAATTAATACTTTCTTAATACACAGTTTGATTACTCTGTCTTCTAATGAGCTTTTGTAGTTTGTTTATTTGGCTTAGGGTCCTGTCAGAGTCTTTATATATTGCCTTTGGTTGATAAATCAGTAAGTCTCAGTAATTTAGGGTGGTTCTTCCTCTTCCTGTCTTTTTTCCTTGCCTTTAGTTACTTAATTAGTTAGAGGAATCAGGTCAAGGACAGGCTCTTCAAAAAGTTACGGAAAAATAAATATTATGAAGAAACTGCATGGATTTGAAGAAGTTTTATACAAAAATAAACTCTTATTTTAAGTTGGCTTTCTACAAACTTTTGGAAGTCTCTTCATATACCCAATAAAATTATCTTTTTAAAAAAAAAACATTAATTTTTAAAAATCTTTTTTGCCATAGGGCATGTGCTCTCGCTAGAGAGAGATAAGAGAGACAGTAAGAGGGGAAAGTGAAAAATCACCCCCTAGGGGGATGGCCACACTGCGATCCCTTCTCCTCCATATTCTTTCTGGCATTTTGGACATGTATGTAAGCACATGCGCCTGGCATGAGTTCCAAGCCACCAGGTCCAGGACTCAAACAATGGTCAGCCATGTGAGAGTCCGGCACTGTAACCACTATGCCACCTACTGGCTCAAAAACAATCCACTTTCTAATTGTATCTTCTTTTATTTTTAGAGAGATTGTTACTATAAGGCACATGTGCTCACCAGAGACAGAAAGCGAGAAACCACCCCTAGGGCTATGGCCACACTGCTGTTCCTTCACCTCTGTTCTCCTTTTGGGAGTTTGGGCATTCACACGCACACACACACACATGCACCTAGCATGAATTTTAAACCACCAGATCCAGGATGCGAACTGCGGTTGACTACGTGGGAGTCCAGCAATGTACCCATTGTGCCATCTGTTGGTCCCTCTAATTGTATTTCATGATATTATGTAGCATGTTCCTCTCTCTTTACTTTCTGAAAGCTGGTACATCTAGAGTCTTCATCAGAGTCAGGCGTGGTAGCTGTTGTTTGGCGAACAGGTCACGGTGGTGCTGTGTACACCTCGTCCATCACGCCAGGAGGAGCGACGCTTGCCATACCGTAGGCACCTGTTTGTTGAGGGCAGCCAGGTGATATCAGCTTGATTCCTGCATTACACAGTTCCCCATCAAGCTTTTATGTACTGTGTTTATACGCCATTGCTAGATCCATTATTCATACTCTCATTACATTTTTTTTTTAGATTTTTTTTTTTTTTTTTTTGCCATAGGGCACATGCACTTGCCAGAGAGAGAGAGACATAGAAAAAGAAAGAGAGAGAAAGTGAAAAAATCACCCCCTTTCCATCCATTCTCCTTTCAGGATTTGGGGCATATACCCACACATGCCCAGTGTGTCTTTCAAGTCACCAGTTCCAGGACTTGAATCATAGAGTCAGCTGTGTGGTGTCCAGCACCTTAACCACCATGCCACCTGCTGGCCCCATATCTTCTTATATTTTAAATTTATTTCTTTCATGAGAGAGTGAGAATGGACGAGAAGGAAGGAGAGAAGGTACCCCAACAGGATCTCATACCATAATCCCCACCTGCAGCTTTCCTGGCCCGCTGGGACCGCAGGTGCATGCATCTGGTGTGTATAGGTTGGCTGGAGAACAGAACCTGTGACCCCTCCACGAAGATCCAGCATGCTACCACTGCTGTCAGGAGCTAGCCTCTAAACCCATGATTTTATTAGGAATTTCGAAAGAATGACACAAATGAGGCAACTTGAAATAGTTCATGGAAAACTGGAATTTAAAGGTGTAGACGTTAGGACCAGCAAGTGGCATGGAGGTTAAGGCCACTGAATCCCACGTGACTGACAGCATGGTTCTAGTCCTAGACCCAGCAGTTTGGAAATCACACTGGGTGTGTGTGGTGCATGCATGCCCAAAACTCTGAGAAGAGAATGGAGGGGAAGGGATTGTGGTGTGGCCGTCCCCCCTGGGGGTGATTTCTGTCTTTTGCTCCCTCTTGCTCTGGTGAGTGCATGTGTCTTACTAATAAATGTATGTATGTGTAGAATTAATTTCTCAACAAAAGCCCCATCAATTTCAAGATTCTTTTGTAAGTGATGATCGTGCCAGCCATTTATTCCATCCTTTGATAACAGAGGGTCCTGGGAGTTGAACCATGAAAAGATGCTTTGGTGGGAAAACCGAAAACCGAAGGAGCCAGCTCAGGACTGTTGGGTGGATAGAGTGGCCGGTATTTGAGAAGAGAAGTGAGCAGAAGCACAGTCACGGTGGCGAAGAACCCGGTGGAGCTTTCCTCGGTGCCCCCTGCTAACGCGTCGGCTGCCTTTCTCAGAGCGCTCTCATGATTAGCAGATATTATCATTCTTTGGCCTTTCAGGAAGTCAGCAAAGAAAACACCTTGAGAAGCCCCAAAACGATTTCCATGACCTTCGCTCTTGACCAGTCCCTGTTGCTCTGTCTAAACCCTAGACCACTCCGCCTCTCAGTAGCCATTGCTCAGTGATGCCCTGTCTTCCAGGCAGTCCTGGTAAAGCCGTGTGCCGTCCCTGTTACAGTGCTGCTTTTGTTTATTTGTTTTAAGTCTTTTTGCCATAGGGTGCCTGCACTTGCCAGAGAGAGTCACACACATGCCCACACCTCGTGTGATTTTCAAGCTGCTGGGTGCAGAACTCAAACTGCAGTCGGTCACTTGGGAGTCCAGGACGTTGACCTCCATGCCTTCTGCTGGCCCCTGTTATGGTGCATCTCAGAAAGGCTTCTGGCTTCAGGATCTTGGCCCAGCTCCTGTGGCATAGCAGTAACCCCAGAGCCCCACAGAGCTGGAGGCTGGCAGTGAGCACCATTCGGATTCTGTTTATGACTCGACTGTGCAGTCGGCCACATGGGATCCACCACCCTAACCACCACCACACCACCTGGCTGGCCCAGTCTTCCACCTTTATTTTTTTTTTTTTTTTTTTTTTTTTTTTTCACAGGGTGAGTACTCTCACTGGAGAAAGACAGAAAGTGAGAGAGCAAGATATCGGGGGAAAGTGAGAAATCACCCATCCTTGGGGAGATGGCCAGGCTACAGTTCTGTCTCCTCCGTTCTCTCTTGGGATTCAGGGTGTGCATGCACACGTGCCCAGCATGATTTTGTAGCCGCCAGGTCCAGCACTCGTCACAGAGTCAGCCCTGTGGGCCCAGCACCTTCCCCACATCAGCTGCCGGCCCTCCGTCTATGGCTGCCGCTCCCTCTGCGGCCCTGTCCTGACGGACTTCTGGCGGAGTACCGTGACTGTGCTCTTCTCCTGCCCGACTGCGCCGTAGATGCCGTGTTTGTCTCTTGCTGTATGAGTAGACTTCATGTTACTTTGATTAGGACTCTTTTCAGAAACTGTCATGTCCTTCGTAGTGCCTCCAACTAGATCCTCTTCTGACATGTTTCACTAAGTTAGTCTGAGTTTATTTTGGTCCAAAAATTGTTTGAGGTCCACACATAATTTTTGTTAATAATCTGCATTTTCCAAGAACCTTTTGAAAAGCTCTTGTAGTACAATTTTTTATTCTGTATTTCTTCCTGTATTTATTAGCCAGAATTACTTTACAAGGAGGATTTTTTTCCTTACTAGCTATTAGGGTATTCTAAAATATAGATTACACAAGAAATGTAGGGTAAATACTTCACCTTGATCCTCATTCTTTTTCTCTTCTCTTCTCCGTTTGTGAGAGTTTGTGCATGTACCAGAGGGAGAAGACAGAGAGAGAAAGGGGAGGAGTGAGAAAGCACGCTCACATGGGGATTGGCCACACTGCAGTCCCTTCTCCCCCACCTCACCCTCCTTTTCATTTTGGGCATGCATATACATCCTGGCGTGTTTCTCAAGCTGCCAGATCCAGGATTTGAAATGCACAGTCACCCACATTGGATCCAGTCACCTTAACCACCATACCACAGGCTGGCCTGATTCTGTCTTTTAAAGAATCATTTCCTCAGTTCTTTTCAGAAGAGCTGATACCCTAGTAAATTACAAAGATGAACACTGAGCGTGTGTGGGTGATATTTTGAACTCACAGATTCTAACATGAGTTACCCTGTTTTTGGTCGGTGGGAGGACCCTCAAGTAGTTGTCCCCTGTGATCTTTTCTTTTCATTCTTTTTTTTTTTTTTAAGAGAGATTGTTGTTATAGACTGTGTCTGCTCACCAGAGAGACAGAGATACAGAGAGAAAGCGAGAAATCATCCCCCAGGAGGAATGGCCACACCACAGTCCCTTCTCCTCCATTCTCCTCTCGGGATCTTCAGCTACATAGAAGTCCAGCCACATAGCCATTCCGCCATCTGCTGGTCCCTCCTGTGTTCTTTTGACATGACTTTCCAATATCTAATAGCTTTCTTGCCTTTCATGAGAGGATTATTCTGATTTTATCTTTTGCATCTCTTACCTAATACCCAGTGATCCATTTCTCCAAAGTAGAACATGCATTTAAGACCATTGTTTTCTTTTTTTGTTGCTTTTTGAGAGATTTTTGCTATAGGGCACATGTGCTTGCTGGAGAGACAGAGAGACAGAGAGACAGAAAGCAAGAAATCACCCCCCCCGGGGGGGGTGACGGCCACACCACAATCCCTTCTCCTCCATTCTCCTCTTGGGATTTTCAGCACGCACGTACACAAGCCCAGCATGAGTTTTAAGACATTCGGTCCAGTGCTCGAACTGCAGTCGACCATGTGGAAGCCCAACTATGTAACCATGATGGCATCTGCTGGTCCCTGAAACTATTGTTTTCTTTATCCTGTGGTATCTCAGAGTGTGTATAGCTAACATGTATGTTCCTTTTCAGAGAGGAGTCACTACTCTCTTATTCTTCAGTTGCTCTGAAGAATGGCTCGCATTGTTAGTGGTTGTTGTCATCCCTCCAAAGTGAATTCTCTGCATCTCCTAATAGTTTGCATTTTACATTAGGTCATCTATCCGTTCAAAACACACCTTGTGAATTTTATGAAAAGCTGTGCAGCGGCTTTTATGTGATACTGAGAGAATAATAGCTTAATTTCATTCATATGAATAGAGCAAAATGCTTTTAACTTGGAAAGCAAGAATGATTTGTTTGGGTAGGGGCAGGGGTTAGGGAAGCTGGACAAAGGTAAGAGTTTGATTCTGACATGTGTTTGGAGATAAGTAATCTATCTAGTTAGAGTGATTGGTTAGAAAGTACCCCCAGGTCTAAGATGAGGAGACTTTCTCTTGCATCTGTTTTGTTACCAACGTAACACTGGAAAGCTGAGCAGAGGGAGTGCCTTGCCAAAGCCAGGAGGAAAACGTTCGTCTTTGACACTGTTTTTCCTCATCTTCTCTTAGTCTGTTGAGATGGATTAAAATCTGTTATTTTTCATTAGAGTCCCAAGAGCGGCCTGAAAGAGAGGATTTATCTAGAGGAGACCTTGGAGAAAACCGACGTGGTGGCGGACCCTGTGAGTACGCAGCCCGAGCGCGGCTGCGCTGTCCATACCTCAGCCGCCTTCAGCTCTCCTTGCGCGGAAGGTGCTCTACACATGTCCATGTGCACGTTTGGAGTGAAATCTCCAGTTTATTGAAGGAACTGAGTGAGGATTTGAATGAATGGAGAGATACTGCGTAGTTGGTATAAGGCTGCTTGCTATCATCTCATTATGGGGGTAAAATACATTTAACCTAAAACTTCCAACCACTGTTCAGTGTGCGTGAGGTGCAGTCCCATCGCTGTGCACCCCTCACCGCCATCCATCACCAGAACTCTCCACACTTAGGTTCATGCTCTCCCTTTTCCGCTCCCCAGCTCCTGGCCCCTGGCGATCACCGTTCTGCTTTCTGTCTCTGTGAATTTGCTATTTTTGGTGCTCATGTAAATGCAATTACACAGTGTTTGTCCTTTTTTGATCAGCTTACTTCACTTAGCAGAATGTCTTGAAGCCCTGCTTTATGCACTTAATGAAAATGAATTAGACATTTAAAAATAAGGTTCAGTGACAGCTTTTTTTTTTTTTTTTGAGAGGTAACGGCTTTCAATTCTGTATCATTAATGGGAATTTGTGGTTACTGTGTCTCACACTTATTAGCCTCTCTGCTAATCTTGTCTTATCATTTTCCCTTTGCCCTGTCGTCTTCACTTACTATACTTGATTTGATTTTTTTTAATTGTAAATATTTATGTAAGCCAACTTTACTTCTTTCTGTAACAAGGTCTAGGTGTGTCTGAATTCATAAATGAAGCATACAGAAAGGAATTAGAATCAGATAACCAAGGGCGTAGAGAGCAAAGGGTATTTACTATTTCTAGGGGAGATGTCTCCTTCCCCCAAAAGCAATCGGTACTGCGGTAATCACGCCCTCTACTACAGCAGCTCATGGCTTTGACCGTGTGAGGACCACCACGTTGGAAATAAAGTGGTCCAGGGAAAATAAGACCCATCCCAGTGGTTAAGTGAGCCATGTCTTTTTGATGGTTGGGTTTTCTTTTTCCGAATCTGACCGCCGTCTCCCATGCCCTGTTTCTCTTTCTGTCTTCCTCCACGTCACAGGACACGCAGTCACTGGTCGGGAGCCCCTCAGCCCGGACAGCGCCTCATATCATTGGAGCAGAGGACGATGATTTTGGCACTGAGCACGAGCAGGTGATGGCTGTTTTCTAAACACAAATGGTTACTTTTCCGAGATACCTCATTTGTTGCAAAATGAATGTTTTCTGAAGATTAAGGTAGCACTTGTAAGGGTTTGAAATTAAGTCTTAGTACCAACAGACCTTTGGGCTAAGTGCTTGTTTTAGTTTTACAATAGAAATGTCTGCTTTTAAAGCCTGTAAGGGGCCCTGTGGCCTAGTCATTAAGGGAACCAGATCCCACGCGGTGCACCAAGCAGTTGGAATCCCGTACCTGGTGGCTTAAAAAACATAATGGTCGCATGTGCATGCATACCCAAAACACCAGGATGGAGAAATGGAGGGGAATGGATTGTGGTGTGACCGTGTACTGTGGGAGGGAGGAAGGGGTATTTCTCTCTCCCTCACTCTGCCTCTCTAGATGCCTTGGGGGGGATATTTTTGTTTTTATAAATATAAGTTTTAAATATATAAAACTTTAATCAGGAAAGTCATGACATACTTTTCCATGCAAAAATGCATTATGACTGTCCAGACAACCCAAAATGTACACACACACACACACATATATATAAATACAGATATATGTGTGTGTGTGTATTTGATTACATAGCAGTAGTCAAACTGTTTATAGTGACCTTCCTGTTCCAAACATTCCTACTCAATGAGCAGATCACATTTTGTGTGTGTGTGTGTGTGTGTATGTGTGTGTGTGTGTGTGTAAACAGAGTTAAGAGTGAGAGTTAAGCTGTTGATTTATATCTAATACTTCATTTCATTAGTAGGGGATGGGAAAAGGAGTTTATTGAAAATGAAATAAATTTTTTTATTTCAAATCCCAGTTGCTCATTGATGGTGTATAGAATATATTTAGTGTGATTCTTGTCCCATGGTCTTACAAAATGCACCTAGAAGATTTTTAATAAGTCTTTTGGAATTCTCTACCTAGACAACCATGTTGGCTGTGAATGGAGACAGTCACTGTCTCCTTGTTTCCAATCTCTTCATCCTTTATTTCTCGTTCTTGTCTTTACTACACTGGCTGGGACATCTGATACAGGACTGAAAGGGGATGGCAAGACTTCTTTGTCTTTCCCAGTCCTAGGAGAAAGCGCTCAGTCTTTTCTCATCAAGTATGATATTAACTGTAGGAATTTTTGTCGATGCTAGTTACTAGGTCAACCATGGTTCGAGTCCCAGACCCAGAGGCTTGAAACTCACACTGGGTGTTGTGTGCATGTGTGCCCAAGATCTCAGGAGGAGGGTGGAGGAGAAGGGATGTAGCATGATCATCCTCCCCCCAGGGAGAGATTTCTCACTTTCCCTCTCACTGTCTCTCTGGAGATCACATGTGCCAACAGCAAAAACCTCAAAAAAAAAAAAAAAAAAGAAAAGAGAAAAGAAAAAGAAATTATTTGGAAAGTGAGCTTCTTCTGTTTCCTGGAAGATATTGTCTGGAATTGGTATTATTTGTTTAGATTAACTTTCTTCACTAATTTATGTAAATGTGAAAAATTATATGGAAATTATGGTGCTGATTTGCATTAAATTTAATAGTTACTGTTTTCCATGTTCATCATATTTAGAGGGATTATGAAAACATCCCAGGAACTGCTATCTTACTTAAAGTCATTATAACTCCATTTCCCACTTAGATTTTAAAAAAAAGAAAAAGAAAAACAGCCATTCCATTATTGGGCAAAAAGCCATTGTTATGTGTTCAGAAATGCCACACCTGTTCACAGACTAATTGTGTACATCTGAACTCCTTAATAATGATCTCCTAAACTTAGCTTTCTTCTCAAATTGCCCTCTCACCTATCCCTGAGCGCTGATTAACTTGAAGAGGAAGACAGCGCATAGCCTGTGGTGCTGACGCACGCCAGCGACACGTTTGACTCGTTCTGTTGCGTGGTCGTGTGAGATGCAGAAAGCTGGGTGCAGGGGAGCCCATGCTGCTGCTGTGCTGAGTGTTGGGAATCGCTGACGCAGGGCTGCTTCTTCTTGCAGATCAACGGGCAGTGCAGCTGTTTCCAGAGCATCGAGCTGCTCAAGTCTCGCCCCGCTCACCTGGCAGTGTTTGTGCACCACGTGGTCTCGCAGTTCGACCCTGCCACGCTGGTAATGTATTTTACAGTGCAGCTGTCCTTGGCCGATTCAGAGTTCTCGTGTGACTTGTGCACCATGGCACTTTTCATACTCACAGGATGAGCAGGCAGACTTATTTCGGTTTTCCTAACATAGGATAGATACGAAAGATCCTTAAAATGCTATTTTAA